TCTGAACTTATTGATGATTTTAAAAACTATCAGAAGATGCATAAAAAGTTTATTAAAAATAGCAAACAGGATAAAGCACATTTGCAATGTGATCTAAATCAAACTAGTAAAGATAAAGAAGAACTTACCAAGTATACCTATCAACTCATAGATGAGATTAAGCGATTGAACTCAGAGATAGATACTTTAACATTTCAAAATAACCAATTACAGATTTCCAATGCTGAATATGAAGCCAAGGATATCATTCATTTGAAAAAAATAAAATCATTCCAGTCAATGATCAAGATATTAAATAGTAAGTTAGAATCAGCTCAGAAGGATGCATTCTCGATTCAGGAAAACTTATCAAAAACGGAAACTAAGAATCTATCCCTTAAATCTAAAATGGATGAGTTTAAACAAATAGAAGTTGAATTGGAGCATGTGAGAAGCGAACTCGATCACCTGAAATCAGAAGATATATTCCGATCTGTAGATGCAAAGGATCATGATTCGAAGAATCGCCTAACGGCTTGTTCTACAATAATTGGTGAAACTGACGAAAAAAATATAATCATACCTGACTCATAGAGTGAGGATGCTTTCGCATCTAATATCTCTATAATTAGTGAACCTATCAAAGATCTTAGGCCAGTTATAGTATGCAGAAAAAATATGGATGAGAGTGAAAAAATTGATAATAACGGAGTTAGTGCTAAAGCACATATTGTACCAGTTTATACTGATGCACAGAGTAAGAATACCATCGTATCTAAAGAAGTGGTTAGCTCTATACCTGAGTTTTCAGCCAAAGGCTGGCTCACGCCAAAGACCGATATATTCCTAGATGATATACATATAAGTTCTGATGTGCCATTAAGTATACCCAAGAGTGTGACTCTATATCTTGTACAATGGGAAAATAATACTCCCTCTTTGGTTGAATCAAATTTCCAGATTCCAATAGGAGGGGTGGGTATAATTCCCATTGTGACAAGTAGTTTGGTGTCATCGTTATCGGCATATATTTTTCTTACCTTGTTAATTATTGTGTTTATACGGTTTGTCTTATTGAGACGTACATAGGGTATAGGTAAAAAAAGTGAACGGTTGAAAGATATATGGATCAGATAACAGATATTATCTATTTGAACTTGGATATTATTCATATACGGAAAATATAATAGTATTTAATCATGTCTAGTCACGAAGTAACTACCTCCGGTAATATTTGTTGTAGATGTAAGGAAATATTGTCATCATTGTATATAGATTACATGCCTCAAAAAGGTGCCCCGGGCTTATTATACATTCCTTTATGGTGGTAAGAATGAAATTTCGCGGTGGCCATAAATTTAAGAAATCAGATACCATCACTCTTGAACTGGAGCCTTTGAATACGTATGATAAGAATACGATAAAAGTTATGGTAGATGGTATTCATAAAGCCTATGTGGCAAAGAACGAGAATGTAAGTATAGGAGATTTGATGAAAAAATACTCAAATTATCGGATTACTGCTCATGGCAAGAAGAACTATAATCAATCAGCGTCTTTAAACCTCGAATATCCTTGGATAGTTTGTGGAAGATGTCGTGATACACTACAAGCATCGAGAGATTATGACTATACTTATTAATGGATCTTTTATGAAAATATGAAATATATATCGAGAAAAAAATAACTATTAATCATCACGAAATAGTAATAAATAAAAGTCTAAAGTAAGATGATTTTATTTTAAAATAGATATATATATGAATAAGTTATACATTAATAAATCGAATAAATAAATATATAGATTATACATTGTTAATTTGACACATTTCTTCTCGAATGGCCCATAATAATTGGTAATGTAATGCTAATTCTGAAGCGCAGAGGCCTGATGGTCTGTACATATATTCAATAAATTAAACATAATAAATTCAAGATAAAATCTAGTCTCAATGAGAAAATTATCATTGGAAGATGCTTATAGTATTGCTAAGTCTCGTGGTGGAATATGTATTTCTACAGAATACAAAAATGCAAAAAGTCCATTAATATGGTGTTGTTCTAAAAATCATACATGGACTGCTTTACTAAAAAAAGTTAAATGTGATGGATCGTGGTGCCCACATTGCGCAGGTCATGTAAAGCTTACTCTTGAAGATGCTATACAAATCGCAATATCTAAATGTGGTCAATGCCTTTCAACAGAGTATGTTAATAGTAAGAGTCCAATGTTATGGAAATGTCATCAAGACCATATTTGGAGTACTCCGTTTAAAAATATTAAATGTTTAGGGACGTGGTGTCCACATTGTGCGGGTATGCCATTTCAAGTTAAATATTCTATAAGTGATGCGCATAGAATTGCCAAAAGTCGAAATGGCCTGTGTCTTTCTGATGCTTTCATTAACTCTATGATACCATTACAATGGAGATGTGTTAAAAATCATGAATGGACCGCTTCACTTGTTCAAATTATAAATAGTGGATCACGGTGCCCATATTGCGCAGGGAACGCACGTTGCACAATTGAAGATGCTAGACAAGTGGCTCAAAGCAGAAATGGACATTGCCTTTCTGACAAATATATTAACAATAACACGAAATTGCAATGGCGTTGTTCTAAAAGTCACGAATGGTTTGCTTCATTTTCTAAGATTAAAAATAGTAGATCATGGTGTCCTGAATGTTCTCATAGAAAACCTTACACTCTTGAATATATTAAGCAGTATGCATATAATAAGAATGGTAGATGCCTTTCCAAAAAATATATTAATTCTGATACTCCATTACTGTGGCGATGTATTAAAGGCCATGAATGGACTGCTCGATTTAATAATATAAAAAATGGTTTTACATGGTGTCCATATTGCTCCAAATACAAACGTGAAGAATTATGCCGTGAAATTGTATCAAAATATCTTGGTCCATCATCAGAGAATCGCTGGCCTAATTTCTTAAAAACACCAGAGCATAAATTGGGATTGCAACTTGATATTCCTTATTATGATTACGGTTTTGCTATAGAAGTACAGGGGCAACAGCATGAAAAATATCACGAATTCTTTCATAGAGGAGATCCCAATAATTTTATCAAACAGCAAGCACGGGATCAACTCAAGAATGAATTGTGCGAAGAAAATTGGATCGTTTTAAGATATGTCTGGTATTACGAAGACCCAAATATAGTTATTCCAGAACATCTTCGAGAATTGGGTCTCATTGAATAAACTCAAAACTTTAATTATATTAGTATGATTCATTTTTTGTGCTGAGCGCCTATGGAACACATTTATATATTACACGTATATTGATAACAGCGCATATACGGATTTATTTTTTTCGTTAGATGCGCATTTATTACAGTACACACCACATTCTTCCACACCAGTAGATATGTAAAAATTATATACCCGAATTATGGGCGAAACTTTATCAATAATTATTTTCGAGGTTACTAAGCCTGTCACAACGTTATATGACCTGTAGCGCAGTAATCCCGAAGCCAGAAAATTAGCCAATTACTTATATAATTTGATCACAAACTACATGAGTGGGCAGGGCCAAAGCTTGACCAACACATAGTCTACATCACCCTGGGTTAATTTAGATTTTTTTTTATTTTTCCGATATACACTACAAATCAAAATTGTGTGCAGACTAAAAATATTTTATTAATAGTTACGCGTTACAGCAACAATAGCTACCATGTCTAAATTTGTTTTACATAAGAAATTATAAATAATTCAATCACACCATTTTCATTGTAATGACACCATCACAGAAAGATTTCGTCCATATCTTCATCATCCGGTAGATGTAACCACTCTCTTAAATTTTCGGAACAATTGTCAGTTGGAATAAAGGAACGGATTTTTCTTTGTAATTTTTCTTGTTCCACAAATTCATTTCGAATAACTGTAAAAAAATTAAAAATTTTCATATAGCATGCGATGGCATCAAACGAAAATGGAATTATACAAGAGGCCAATTCAACAGCCAAATACTTTCTTTTGTCTGCTAGAGAAACAGCAAACAATGTAAGTCGGTCTCCTATAACCTGAATGCTATAAGTTTTAACATTTTTAGCATCCTCAATGTTGCAATCAAGGTTGTTTCCAAGGAGTCGACATAGACTGCAGATAGCCATTACTAATAGTTTTTTACGTCACCAACAGTATGCTTTTTTGTGGATCTATACGGAGGTCCAGAAACTTCAACATTCAAAAGTTCTCTTGCGTCGGATAACCTGAGAATGAGTAAATCTGTCTTTCGTTCTCCAATATTACCCATAAACATAATGTTTGCTTCTTTTATTGATCTCACATCCTTCTCTACCCACATATACTTTACATCAGGAAACGCTTTGCGAAATGCGAGGAGAATTGGTGACAGGACTTCAATGATATAAGATCGTTCAAGCATGTCGCGGTCCATGACTTTTGGCATCAAAAACTTAAACTTTGAGAAAAAGTCTAGTAATGCATATCGTATGAAGAATATAAACCTATCCTCATCCGTTGTTTGATTTTCGATTCGACTTCAGAATATTCTGATTGAAATATTTTTTTGAGCTTTTCTACTATTGAATCTTTCATGACTAATTTGTTCCCCATTTGAAGTATAATTTTAACTTTTTCATAGTCTTGTTCTCCAATAGTTTTCTTGACAAGATGTACCGTTGTATTAAAAGCACAAATTATATGTGCAGAATATTCATCATATGTTGCTTTCGTAATAATGGGTTTATTAGGCGTTACCATTAAAGTACGTGTGACTGAACGAGTTGTCGGACATGGTGTGCTTTCACGAGAGTTATTACGGACATATTGTTGTGATCTTGCCTTAAATTTTTCTACATCCTCTAAATCTGGTGAACCTGGACTTGAGAATTCAGTGTAACAGATCTTCTTTGTTTTCCTGAGTGCCATCCCATTCAAAGGCTCTCCTTCTTAATGGAAATCATACATTCGTGGTGAGAAGACATTTTTATTGTGGGGTATATAATGGAAAATATAACTACCTTATTTTCTGGTGTTCGTGGCTCTTGTCCACGTTGACGTTTACGTGGTGCTAGTTCATCGATTTCTTCGGTGACTAAGTTAATAGCAGAAACCGTGGTTCGTTGATGTTGGATAATTTTTTTCTGTTGAATTTCAGCATTGTTAGATGAAATCTTCTCATCGTCACGTTTACGCTGAATGTTTTTTTTTGCGAGCTCAAGCCAGTGTTGTTTTTCGGGCCCCTTCCATTTTGAAAGTAACGCGGAGGCGTATTTAGAGACACCGTTTGGCCAATCCGAAACCTGTTTTGATAATGAACTTAAGCTCCGACAACAGACTGCGAAACAATCATTTTCCGATAACCCTGGATTATTCTCCAGTAACTTGATGACATAAGAATCTATGTTATGCCACTCTTTCATTGGTCTTGAAGTGACATAGTCATCATGCAAACGATCTTTTGGTGCAATGAAATCCTTTTCATCCATAACACGTTGAAATTTCAGTAGTCAGTACGGACGCGTACTACGCGTAGCAAATCTATTATATCCAACCACGTGATTGGTAATGCAAATGTGGACCTGTATCACATATCAGATATAATATATTAATATGGGTCAAAGACTGCTCGGCAACCTCGCTACGTAGCCCTTTTATCGAGGGACACCGTAACTTTTGTATCTTGAGGGCTTTTGCTTGCTTGATAACCTCCTCTCTTGAAGTGGTTGTGGTTGCGATGTCTTTCACACTTTCCCTACGCCAACAGACCCGGTACAGACCCGCTCCAAGGCTTATGGACTTGCGACTCTGGGAGGTGTATCGATGAAAGGAGATTGACGAGGGACACCGTAACTTTTGTATCTTGAGGGCTTTTGCTTGCTTGATAACCTCCACTCTTGAAGTGGTTGTGGTTGCGATTTCTTTCACACTTTCCCTATGCCAACAGACCCGGTGTAGACCCGTTCCAAGGCTTATGGACTTGCGACTCTGGGAGGTGTATCGTCATTCGTCTGCTGTAGCTAACAAAAGCAGAAGTCTATTCACTCACACATTCGCGTTCCACGAAAATTAAAAAATAAACGCCCGATGTTATAACAAACACTTTGTTATTTATTTCACATGTACGTTCAAGAAGTGAACACAATTAATATCAATTGATATGAGCATTTTCAGAAAAAAATTTTCGATGCAAGGGCCCAAAGTGAACAAAGTTTTATTGATTTTTCAGATATAAATAATAAGAGGTAGCGAGAGAATATATGATGCTATCAAAGAGGGAGGGAGTACGCGGATCCTAGGCCATTTAATGCGAGTCCCAGCATCAAATTATTTCTTTGCTCTCACGCTTTCGAAAAATATCTATAACTAATTTTGTTTCTATTGCTAACTACGTAATTCTCATCCCACACTCTAGATTTCCGAAATAAATTATCCCGCCCATATCTACAGAATTTTTGTCTATCTATATCTCTCCCACCCACACAAACAATATAAAATAATATTCTCCGCAATAAATCGAGTGGAAGATGATGAATGAGCAGAGGCGGATGATGCTTCACTTTGTTGATCGGATCCTCTTCTACCCATGCTTTGGATAAGAGCGTTTCGTTGATTGATTTCATTTTGGAGTGATGCTGATTTCTAGAACTCGTTATATTTCCCGGATAAATTATTAATCATAGAGATAATATTTTGTGCTTCTGCCACGTAATTAGCATGACGAGAATTAATTTTTGTGATTTCCGAGATAAGTTCATCATTGATTTCGGTAATATTGATCCCCATACACAGAGGAGCGTGATCGGGGAATATCGTCACGAGGAAGAAAAACAAAGAAGCGGTTAATGCCATAAAAGGCATATTCTCCGAAATGTTGAATGAATGCATCTGCGTGAGAAAAGAAAATCCGATTAGAATATGTGTCAGCGACACTAGCTCCGCTATTAATCGTGGGGACGCACGGGCATTAATCACAACGAAGATACCTTAATTCAAACAAAGCTAAGTAGATTAATTTCTCTGATGAATTCGATAGTTTTATTCGAAGATAACTGCAAAAATTTATTAATTGTTTCGTTATACGTTATGTGCCAAAGACGCTATTATTTCTGATTTTGCAGAAGGTTGAGATAACGAAAAAAAATTCATCTTTTATAGAGAAAATCGTCGATCATTA